TGTGTCTATATCCCATTCAGGGAGGTGTTGGATGCTCGGAAGGTTGAGCGTGGCTGTGGGCAAATTAAACTGCTCCTCATAATGCTCTTTCCAACGATCCAGTCGTCTATCCTGGGAGCTAATTATAGTGCCATTTTTTTCCGAGATTGTCTCACTAATGATTTGTCTTCTCCCACCCGTTTCCCTGATGAGTCCAAAGAGTTGCCTGGTGTTGCCTATCCTCGAAGCTTTCTCCATCTCTTTGGCTTTTGTCGCCCACCACTGTTCACGGTCCTTGCGGAGACTTTTCGTAAGTTTCCTCTTGTGCAGCTTTCGCTCCTCATTGAATTCGGAGCTCGCCGGAATAAGTCTTCTAGCATCTATCAGTTCGGATGAGGCGGTGGAGATCCAGTGGTTTTTACTCACCTTTGGGTTTACCTTATTCACAGCTTTTACAGCTGTATCTATGGCTGCCTGGATATTTTTCCAAGCTTCTTCAGGGTGAGCACAGCTGTCGAACACAGATATGTGTTTAGCTAGTTCTTCCTCAAATACGGATTTAGTTTCCTGATCGAGCTGGGGACGTGATGGTTTTACCGCCAGCTGTTTCCTACGTCCGTTCAGTCGTAAGCACACCCGAGCGCGGACCAGTGCATGGTCGGTATCTACGCACGTGTTCCAGAAGGAGCGACAATCTCCTACCGACCCACGCCAACGATAGCTTATTGCTATGTGGTCTATTTGTGTCCAGCGTTGGTTTGATGAAGGGGGTCTCCAAGTCAAACAGTGTCTCTCCTTGTGTTTGAAGTTAGTGCTTACAAGAAACAAATGATTATCAGAGCAGAACTGTAGGAGACGGTCACCGTTGTCGGTTCGCTGGCACGGAACTCCATAGGTGCCACCGACATCCTTCTCAGATTGACACAATTTCCCTACTTGAGCGTTAAAGTCACCAGCTAGAACGACTATGTCTGAGCGTTTAGCCTTTCGCACCAAACTAGACAGCTTTTGGTAGAACTCATCCTTCGTTTCATCTGAACTGCAGTCAGTGGGGGCGTAGGCGGAGATTACGAAAAGGCATCGGCGAGTAGTGCAGTCCTTCCTCCTTCTTACTGATCCGTTCAGGCGGACAGCACACATTCGGCTATCTACCGGGATCCAGTCAAGCAATGTCTTTTCTGCCCTAGTACTCAAAGCTATCCCTACGCCAGCTAATCCTCGTGAACTAGCTGTGGCATCTCCTGACACCCTCAAGGTGAATTTTGCAGATTCAACCTGTTGGCCAGGTGGGGTTAGGTGAATAACCACACTTGGGTCTTGTATGCGTGTTTCTGAAACACAGCATACATCAATGGCTCGTGATGCCAGGGTCTTGGCTAGTGATGCTTGTTGTCCTATTTGGCAAAGTGTCCTAACATTAAGAGCTCCTATATGAAATTGGTGGCGCGGCTTTAAGAGGCTGTCGGTGGTGGTTTTTTGGCTTCCATCGTTTTTAGTGGACGCAGAAGTGGAGAGCTATCAAGTCGAGGAGTTGCATCAGTGGAAGGAAGGCAAGATGATAGAGATGAAGATGAAGACAAAGATGAGTGAGTAATAGAGAGGTTTCGTGTGCATTTCGGATTGTGAGGGCGATTGTTACTTCCCGGCTGCCCACACCGTGGAAGTTGGTTGCGTGACCGCAGAGCCCAGGGGACAACTGCTTGAGGCCGGTCACACGCGGCCTGTTTTTGTTTGTTCTTTTTTGTTTGGTGTGTCTCAGTAGCATATTTATCACTCCTGCCCTGTGACACGGCAGCAGGAAGCGCGGTCGTTGTTAATCCGGGCCACGGCCGATCCGGCATGAAATTTTGTGATTTTGTATTGGACATGATGTTGGATTGGGTAGCTGCTTTTTGTTTAACCGCTATCCAAACAACCTGCCTGGCATGGTAGGACCTCAAGAGACATAAGTCTCAGCCAGTATAGCTTGAATAGATCATTGCGGTGTTCAAGCCCGACCACCACGTCAAGGTAGCAGCTTTCGGTCGGGATAATATAAGTAGTTTGTTGAGTGAATTTTACTCAGGATGCATATAGAAACAAAGTAGATAATACGAAATTATGTAAAAGTTCTAAATGAATACAAGAATTGTAACCAATTAAAGAACAGGCAAAGAAACAAAATTAAGTCATCAAAATCAAAAAGAAATTGTTACCATGACAGTAGAAGTGGTTGAGTAATCCTCTTTTGTATACACAGCTCCGGTTTTTCTATGTGAATGACCAGAGCTTCAGCGATACAAAGAAGACGAAACCGTATTACCTTTGATAGGTTATTCTTGACTCTGTAGATTACTTTGAAGCAGGAGGCGTTTGTTGAAATCCAATGATCAGTGTTAATCAAGTGTTCAATTATCGCACTCCTTATTGCACCACTATTGCCTTTTCGCAACAATGCTGGATAGTGTTCTTGAATCCTCTTGGACAGGATGCGCGTCGAATGACCGATGTACCTGGCTCCACAGCAGCAGGTGAGCTGTTATACATGCACATAGAAGTGGTACCAATCTTCACCTGTTTAGTTAAAATAACCTTAACCAATTGTAATTTTGTTTGACAAACTTAATGTACACACACATACAAAATAACACATGTATATTTGCGATTGTACAGTTAAGCATGAATGAATTTACCGGCGAAAAGAGACTCTTCGCTGAACACTACATGCTTTGTTTTCATTAATACCTAGATGGGGGATTATCCATGAATTAAAACAATAAAGTGTGTTTGAAATAGAGGCAAGTTTCTATTGATCATCCTAGTTCATGTGAACAACACTACCACGCTTATCTGTGATCATATGAACTTGAAAGGAACAATAACAAATACGACTGGGGAAAATGGATCCATCCATTCATTCTATTTCCTCAATGTCTTGTCAAGTATTTACACTTCGTATAATTCAAGTATGCAATTATAATGAAAATTTAAAAAATGTGCGTCACAAGTCAAAATTAATCCTAATGCACAGTCTGCTTAAAACTTGGGCTAACAAAAACTTCCATCCTTCTTTCTCTATTGACTATACATTCTCTCTCGTTCGGTTTGTTTTAATCGATTAAGATATGCCCTACCTGTAATGGTATTATCTACTCTTGTGTGTGTGTGTGTGTATTTCAAATGTTTACAAGCTCCTGTCTGATTCGCAAGTTCCTACTAAACTTGAGGAATGGCCTGATTGTGGGTGGCAATGTGTTCCAGTATATGAGATAACTGTTCTTCAATCATATCCACTGGTCTCAAAATGTACTTCTTTTGAACATATTAAAGACTGGATTTCAACTCGATCGATATCGTGGATTTCTTGAAGGAAGGAGACAAAGCAGATATATCATATATGGAATGGTTTATGTGATTTTGTCTGAGATGCTTCCAAAATACTTTGGGATACTCATGTTTTTCGAGACAATTCTTCAAGAAGAAAACCTTTGCGTTCGCCTCAGCAAGGTTGACGGACAAACGTAGAAACTTGTTCAGTCCCTTTACCGTCGAACGGTCCTTGCTTCTCTTAAAATCACGGAATATACACATTGGGTGATAGGAGTTATTAAGAAGACAGTTGCAGTGAAGAAAATTTTCTTTTCGACGAAGTCAGCATCAACTAGGCTGTACATTCGTGTATTTATATCAAATGGATGGGAAAGTTCCAGAATAATTTCCGGTTAAGGGTCAAATTAATAAAAATTACAATTAGGAATTAGAATGACATAATAAACATACCGGGGGAGGGGGACACGGATAAAACTCAAACAAAGTAGCATCATAATTACTAAGAAGATTGACATACTGTGCAATTAGGGGTTAGAAATGTAGAAATAACAAAATAGACAGCATGTTTGGATAAAAAAAACTAGTAATAGGAGAGCAAAAACGTCTATATAGTTCAGTGACAGAACATCTAGACAATTCAGGACATTCAGCGCCTTTCAAAAAATCCTTCAAAATAATATACAAGATTCAATCAAACCTATCGAAGGGAGTGAAATCAAGACATCTGGGCATAGCCGAAGCGCTAGCTATACAAAAGCTCAAACCCACGCTTTGTATACAAAAGAAATACGCCCAACCCCTGTCCCTGCCATGGCCATCATAAACAGGCAATTTTTTAGTAATGACCATCCCATCGCCTTTCTTATCTAAACTTCCTGTTTATTCATGTTATTTTCTAAAGTTTTTCTTAATCCCTGTTTACACTACCATATTTTCATACCCGAACTTCGTGTTTATTGTGTCACTTTACGATTTCTACATATCTAATCCCTGATTGCATAAACAATTATTCATCACATTAGCTTTTATCCGAACATGCCGTCTATTTTGTTATTTCTACATTTCTAACCCCTAATTGCACAGTATGTCAATCTTCTTAGTAATTATGATGCTACTTTGTTTGAGTTTTATCCGTGTCCCCCTCCCCCGGTATGTTTATTATGTCATTCTAATTCCTAATTGTAATTTTTATTAATTTGACCTTAACCGGAAATTATTCTGGAACTTTCCCATCCATTTGATATAAATACACGAATGTACAGCCTAGTTGATGCTGACTTCATCGAAAAGAAAATTTTCTTCGTTGCAATTGTCTTCCTAATAATTCCTATCACCCAATGTGTATATTCCGTGAATGGTTTATGCTTCTGATATGTATCCACATGATGTGTGTTTTGTTGTTGACAGTCTATTATATTTTGCTATGTGTATATGGATCGATATTCCATTATAACTGACAATATGCTTTTGTCTGTCCACTAACTAAATAAACAATGTATGACCTTGTTATCACATGACATTACAACCAATCATGGTAAAATGTTATCTTATTGGTTTATGTGTATTAGCCACTTTCATATATACTTTGCATTGTACACTTTATCATTCTTGTTCACACACTTTTCGTGCACTAAGTACCATTTCACTTACACTCTTGTGTGACATTTATTTTCCTTGTCTGGAAAATACAAGTATCATCGTAAACCTGGTGATCTTCTGATTTCCCTCTTTCCGCGGCGTCAGGACTATTAACTACTCGACGAGTAGATAACAGCTTCAACTCAGAAACTGTGTCACAGCAAATAATATATTCAATTAATTAATATTTTATTTGAAGATTTTGTACGAAGGGGAAGTTATCATTGCAATAAACTCCTCAGATGAAAACTGTGTACATTTGCTCGGAGTAGCGATGTTATGTGTGATTATTATTATTATACGTGGAAGTTTTAAAAACCAGTTATATGATAAGAGTGAAAAGTATTTGCATTCTGACCCCACAGATCACAAGATTATTATTTCAATATACGTACGTAATTAGAAACTAATAAATACGATACTGAAAAAAAGTATGTAATGAAAGAAGTCTCAAAAAATCAGACAAGTCAAGACAAGTTAGTTAGCTGATGATCAAAATTTTTTTTCTGACGATTCATTTCAATATGGCCTTCGTAGACGCATACGACTGCAGAGATTGCTTTGTAGGCCAGTTGTTAAATCCCAATACTTGCGTTGATCATTTAAAAGTCTTACACAATCTGCTCTATCTCTTTTCTGAGCTGATGATATTTTTAATTCTGAATTTTGTAGAATAGAAACGGTTTTTTGATTGTTACCAGTACGATTCGCCAGGTTTGATCCATTGCTTGTCGTAAGAGTAGACAATGACGGAAGCAGCATATTTGTGCTCAAGTGTTGTTTGTAGACTGTTTTCATCTTTCGATGACCAAGTACAGTACCCGACGGTAGTCGTACCTCGTAGACATCTTCATCATCTGACTACATACACACACAGTGAGAATAAAGGAGAAAAAATAGAGCAACAATATATTTAATATTCCCATAGTAAAATTTAGAACAACACATTTAAACGAACAATATTCTACTTTCGATCAGATCTCTTCAGGCTAAATTAACTCTAATATACATAACTTTACAAATAAATATTCAAATATAAACCAATCATGGTGTTTTATCTATAGGATAATAAGATGGTGAATATAAATTGTGCAATTAGTCATAATAGTAGTAATGATAATAATAATAGTGAAAAAGTGAGGCAATCTGAGATAACACGAATAATGAAAAACAGTATGATTAAACAAACAAATGCTCAGGTAGTCATAGTCGATAAAGGTTAATAAAAACAAATGAACCGACTAAGTAATGCTAGATTGCGAGTAAAGTAAATGAAACACATTTTTAATGAAGATATGATAAAATTGAGGGATGATAAGAGAGGCGTTGAAAATATAAGTACGTAAGGGGTGGTGGAGAAGCCATCAGTTGGTTAGGTCTTAATAGGCCAAATGAAGGATAATGGCTGTACGAACTTCTTTCGAATGTATAGTGTAGGTTTAATAGTTCGAATGCCTATCGCCTCAGCTCAGCTGTGTGCAACAGACGAATATGAAGTCTATTAGAAAGATTCGGTGGGATACGGTGAATTACTTTGAAAGCTCTCGTTTTCTCCACTACATGACAACTATCAATTAAATGTGACAAAATGGAGCTACGGATTATTTTTGTCTGTCCTTTGCGAAACCACCACAATGGGAGATGTTCAGTAGTGACACGTTGGCTAAGCTGTCTAGTAATACGCCCAACATAACTGTCATCGCAGGTGCAGTTGAATTGATAACTGCACACAGATGTGGCGAAACTATCAAGTTTATTCTTCATTTGCGTCCCAATCATTCGTCGGCTAGAAAATGACAAACATAGGTGTGCTGAGTAAAATGTTCTACGTATACTCCTTGAAAGTCTTTGGAATAAAATCTCACTTGACAAGTCACGATTAAATTGTAACTTAATAAATAGAGGCTTTTTTATGTGCAGTCAGAGTCTCAGGTTTTCGCTCTGATGTTTTCATATGTTTCTTTTTTTAATAATAATAATAATAACAGCTTTATTCCAAACAGTATTTGTGGTACAGGTATGGAATTTTCAGCATGCATTACAGTATATTGCATCTAATTACCTCATAAATTATATAAGATTTTTAAAAATCAAAGATAAATAAATAAAAAAAATAAATAAGTTATAAATAAATAAGATAAATAAAAACTAGAAATTAAGAAAAAAACAGCGTAGAGTATTTCATTTCAAACAATGCACCACAGGATTTGAAATATAAAGTTGATGTGTGGTAGTAGATGAGAACAACAGTGTAGTAGTAACGAGGAAAGGAAAACAAAAACTAATGAGACTATTTGTTAGAGTGCTGCAGTAAGTTTATCGTGTCATACCTAACGGATTTCTCATCACATAACAGCTGTGCCAGATATGGTACTGTGGAGTTTTTGTATTTGGTAGTCCTAGCATATAGCCTCCTATAGCTGCTTCTAGTTCTTCCAGATGAAATGCAAGGAGATAGATGCGTATAGAGAGGATGCTCGGGGTCCGACAATATTGTATTCGCTAGTTTCTTACATGACATAATATGTCTATCTACAATAGTGTTCACCAGTTGGTTTAACGATATCCCACTTGCCCTACTAACAGCTTTTAGTGCCCTTCTCAGCGAAGCAAAGTCTTTCTTAAGTAGTCCAGGAAAGACTAATGGGGAGCAGTAAAGGAGGATGGGTAGAATACAAGAATTTACAAACTGAGAAAGTAAAGACTGGTTTATGCCAGACTGCCTAAATTTCCTTATGTAGAACGTTAAGCGAAACATCTTTCTAGTAACTAGCAAGATATAGGAGGACCAGGAAAGATCGGTGGAAAAACTCAGCCCAAGGTACTTGACATAAGATGTATTATCAACCTCTGTGCCGTCAATGAGAGTGGGGCCATGTGAGCTAACTAGTTGCTGTAGGTCACATTTACGTCTGAAAGCGAAATTGACTACCTGACATTTAGACGGATTAAGCTTAAGTCCGTTTGAAGAGGACCACTGACTAATTTCCGACAGAAAGCTATTCTTTATGAAACTACTCGGATAGCCCATCTCCATCAAGGAATCGTGAATATATTCGAATTCCTTTTGTAAGAGGTCATCCGTACATATCTTTCTTGCTCTACTCGTAAGATATTTAACAAGATTTCTTTCACGCAAATAAGGAGGTGTGTGTATTATCCTGTGAATGTGCTTTTTCTATACACGCTTCTCCCAAGTGATGCATCTTCTTGCCTAATTAGCAAGACATCCAGAAAATGTAGTTTATTCTCCTGCCCCTCTTCACACACAAGTAAAAGTAAGGGAAGGGTGGAAGTTGTGAATGTATCATCGACATATTGGTAATACATATCAAACTCCTTGATGATGTCTTTCAATTTCCTAATTTTGCAAGAAAGAAGTCAGCTAATATTGGGCCTAATGGTGAACCCATAGTTATTCCATCTACTTGTCGGTAGTAAGAATTATTGAAGACAAAGTGAACATTCATTGTACATTTGAGAAGTAATAATAATTCATACTAAAAACAGTGATATAACTGCATCTTACTGACACTTCGCTATTTAGGGCTGTACTGATCATTGTCCCTATTTCTATTTAATTTCATCATAGATACTGTACTAATAAACTTAGGCCTAACTGTTGACTTTGGCAGCTCAGGGATTGACTTGTTACCATTAGGGAATAATCTCGTTGACTTAGAATATGTATAAGGATGATATAATCCCCTTCTAGGTGAGGAAGCTGACATAATGCAAAGTCAGTCTTCTGAAAGCCCTGAGGAGCAGCAATCTTCGAATGTTTGACATGCAACTGATTCGCTGCTGTCAAATGTAGGATGATGTTGCGGGCTTGGACTACATTAACTTCTAGCTTAAAAATAGACAGGGTTGAAATGGTAGAACCTGTTGACCACTTCACTTATTCGGCGGGGGGGGCGGTTGCATCAGCCAGTGCCAGCAGGTTGATCGCTGACCAAAATCTCAGCACGGATATAAAAGGCTGGTTTGGTATATGCCAAAATTATGCCATTTCTGGCTTAGTAGACGTGATATTCGGCTGGCTATCGACCAAAGGGTGTGTGTACTGCTCAGTAGTTCGTTCTGTCCTTCCTTTGTGGTTTTGAGTGAGACATGCCAATTGAAAGCAGAAGACATGAAAAAGGCTAGTTATGTTTGATCAGAGATGTCTGCGTTCTATCTCCCGTGTGAAGTGGTATAATAAGGTGAGCAATATTGAGATTAGGCGTCGAGTACTAGGTAAGGAGGGGAAATCAATCGACAAGGCTGTCAAATTACATCGACTGAGATGGTTAGGATATATGTTAGGCATGCCCAGCTGTTGCCTTCCTCGACGGTCAATGTTAGTTGACGTAGGGTCAGGCTGGAAAAGAGCCAGCGGCGATCAAACTAAAACATGGCACCAGTCAGTGAAATCCACATAGGAAGGTGTAGACTTCTCGGCTGGTTGGGGTCCTCAGGACGTAGAAACCAATGGCTGGAGACAATCGGTGATATGGCTCAAAATCATTCTCAATGATGGCGCAGATACATTCACTTCTGGTGACTTAAAATACCCAATTAAACTGTATTTTTCTTCGTTATCGCTATTCCTTTTGTCTCATATCCCTGTTTACTGTCTTTATTTTGCATTTATTTTTACTTTCCTCTCTTGCTTTATGTGCTATATGGAGGGAGTGTGACGACTCAAACTGCTGTACATCGGAGCAAAGTTTTAGGTTGAAATAAGTCAGTCGGTCATTGAATGCTGCTAATAGCTTTAGCAAAGTATCACGTAAAAGATCGTATCCCTAAGGATTCTCAATCTAAATGTGTCTACAAAATAAAATGCTTGACAAGTGATGCGATATACATCGGAAAAACATTGCGAGAAACCGAAGTCAGAAGAAATGAACACCGTAGAGCATGTGTTCGACCACATCAAGAAATCCAGTTGAACTGGGAAAGCTTGAAAAATCATCAGCCATAGGTCGTCTATACGCTATAGAATTAGGCCACAAAACTGATTTTGAAAAATATTGAAATCATCATCCAGAAAAATTTCAGAAGTCCCAGAGAACGTCTAATATCATAAGCACTTCATACCACGTGGAATCGGAATTGTCTGAATAGGAATGATGACCTAGAACAGAATTTGAACCGATTACAACATCCCCCTCCCCCACCCCCATGAAGTGACAAAATCAACACGAATGTGATAAGCGATTTCATTATGTAAACACATGTTGCTTTTATAATTTTACACACTTATCAAATCCAAGAATCTATACTTGATTTTGTTATCTTTACCGATTGGCCAACTTGACAATGCGAAAAATGACCCCCATGCTGAGGAGTTATGATTAAGTTGTAATATATGTGCTAATGAGGTTTTGTAAATTCTGGTTTAACAATACTTTGATAAAGCTATTGGCATCATTAAAATAGCGAAACATCAGTAAACACAGTAATATCGTTCATTCAAATACTAAAAATCACCTTTATTATAATGCCCAAATTTTTTCAAACAGTTAAAAGTGAACTTGGTTTGGAGATATATAATGATTAACATATCTGTCCGAAAATACATTTTACGAGTAATGGTTGTGGTCCACCACCTTTTTTATCACAGCTAATTCAGATTTGAATTTGTATTTAACGAGATTATGACAGCCTAAAAAAGATCGTTTATCTACTCTATTATGATAACATATCGAACAGAATGACTGACAAATCAACAGTGAAGTTTCACAGAAACGCACCATTTCAAACTGTCATGTACTTTGAAGAACACAAAAAATACAGAAACACAAAAGTAATGATGATACTACAATGGGACAGTCATGTCTGTGATGAAACATGACGCTTTTCAGAATACGGAAGGCCCAAAAGGAGCGGATACATAAGACATTGTCGGAGATTTAGGACTATTTCAGTCTTCAGCTACACGAGGAGACCTTATCCAGGCAAATATGATGTATACCTTTGTGGTTGAGACACACACCTACACTCAATGATTTCATGAGTTTTCAAGTATTGCTTTTGTAGGGATTTTTGTTCGATTGCACAGAGGAATTGGCAGAAGTTAGAATTCAGGGACCATTGGATCGAGTTCCGGTGGCTCAATGGTCTAGCATTGTAACCAGAAAGTCCCGGGTTCAAACCCCAATGGGGTGGGTGCGTACTGATGAAGGGTCCCAAACTAGGACGAAACAGCTGTTCAGTACTCCCAGGTTTTCCAGTGGTTCTCTAACTGATGTCAGCTCATGATGAAATTCTCCATGCAATCAGACTTCATGATTTATTGCCCAGTTTCGAATTGATTACCCTCAACACTTTTCTAAACTGACTATCTACAGGATTTCGCATATCGTGACAGATAAGTAGGGCTAGAATTCAGCAGTTAATATGTAGACAGTTGACTAGTACACTTTAGTCGATTGATTAGTCAGAGCTCTTCAAATTTTATTACATCAAGAAAACTTCCAGGTGATATGATACAATGTGGACAAAAAATATCTACAATATAAAGGATTGCTTGCTTGTCGTTTCTGACTTTTCTTTGACTATACTAATTTAAGCTCTGTTGAACCTAAAACTCATGTCACATACAAAGAAATGGGCGATTTGTATAATGCTTTTGTAATTCAACTCAAACACTGAATTCCTTTATAAGTCCCTATCATATTACGATAGCTAAAGTCTAGCCAGCAACGAATCTTAAACACTGACTGGTTTCAACATAGAACTTTGCACAGAAGTGCACCGCTCTATGTAGCACACAAACAAAAGAGAGAAAAAGATATTCGAAAGAACGACAATAAGCAGAAATGTCAGGGAAAAACAATAGTAACACAGGAGACAATAAGGTCTTATTGGATATGGCAGATCACAAAAGGTGAATACATTTGCACCATCATTGAGAACGATTTTGAGCTATATCACTAATTATTCCCCAGCCGTTGACTCTTAGAATCCAAAGGACATCAACCAGTTCTAAGCAGTCTACACCTTCCTATGTGACTGGCTTAAACTAACTTCCAAGGACTTCATGGACCGATTCCATGTTTTTGTTTGACCACCACTGGCTCTTTTCCAACCTGATCCATCCTATGTCAGATAACATTGCCCATCGAGGAAGGCGATGGCTAGGGAGATGTAACACATGTCTTAGACATCTCAATCGATGTAGCTTCACAAGCTCATTGATAGATTATCCCCTCTTTACCGAACACTCGATGCATAATCTCAATATTACTCACCCCCATTATACCACCTAACAAGACAACTAGCGTTTTCACGTCTTCTACTTTCAATGGCTATGTCTCAAAACCATAAATGAGGATGGAGAGGACTTCTGCGCATTACACGCGTCTTTTGATCGACAACTGGCCAGATATTACATCGACGCCAGAGATGGTGTGTAAGTTGGCCAATGCTACACAAACCTTCTGTATCTATGCTGACATTCTGTATGCAATCAGCCTGTTGAGGCTGATGCAACTTCTCAGATAAGTGAATTGATGAAGGCGCCCAAACATTTTCACTCCTGCCTAACACTAAGCTGGGAGTCCATGAAGTCCAGTCGCGATGCATCACCATCACCTTACAATTAACAGGAGCAAATCGCATGCCAAACATTCAAAGACTTCTGCTCAAGGCGTTCAGAAGACTGTACTTTTTATCGGTGTCTTCACCCAGGAGGATTATATTCAACAAAACTATTCCCTGGTAACAATTCAATAACCTAAATCGCTGAAGTCAGTTAGGGTTAATTCCATTAGTACATTTATACCGACATTAAACAAATGGAGAGTCTTGAAAAGCCTAATCTAATAGACAAATCATTCAAGTGAAATTCAAAATATAGATAAGAATGTTTCATAACTGACAGGAATGATGGAATACTGACAATATCATAACACACTTTATGTATACAAGGTGAAAGGGGGGTTTGAAACCCACTTAATAAAACGAAATATCTAAGGACACAAAAAGAACTTACCAGTAAGAAAGGCGAAACAACAACAGACTGATCGTAAAACTGACTGAATAGCTCACCACCTGCAAGACCAACTTTAGGATAGTTCTCCGCAGAATCCTCATCTGATTCTTCTTCAGCTTCAGCTATCAATAATGCAGTTTGAACAGGATCTTCTGTACCACACCAAAGTTGTTTATGACCAGGTTTACCTAGCATATGATTACGAACAGCGGACAAGGAGATTTCTGCATTGTTTGATTTCTCTAGACGACTACCATAGAATTGACGACCACAAAATAAACATGCACGCTCTTCACCAACTATTCGTCCCAATTCACTCAATAATCCAGCAGGATCAGTTAATTTCTCAGGAAATGGGACAGTAAATTTGTGTGCATCAAACATGTGATTTAAAACGCGTTTGGCTAAATCAATCTGTTGCATTTTATCGAGTGATTCATTCGGTAGAGAATTCACTGATACAATTCGATCGCAAAATAAACAGGATCCAAGTGGTAACGGTTGTGGAGGACTATTTTCTGCAGTGGACTCAGTTGTAGTGGTAGCCGGATGTTCCCTGATACAAACAAAAAGTGTTACACTCCATTTATGGATATATAGTAAATGTACAACAACTCTCAATACATAACAAATTTAACTCTCACTTTTTTCAAAATTAAAAAATTTGGTTTTATCAGAAATGTCAGGTTACATATATTATTATTATTGTTCCCTTTAGTTCCCAGTGGAACATAAGGCTTCAACTGCACGTCTCCACTTGCTTCTGTCTTCTGCTGTACTTTTCACCTGCATCCATCTTAGTCCATACTGTTTCAACTCCTCTCTCTTCACACGATCTCCTCCATGTCACCCTTGCACTGACGTCCCACTCGCCACGTGCTTCCCTTTCGGTCTGGTTCCACTCCAGCAATGGCCTGACGCGCGCGCGATGTCACCCAGCGGCCTCCTCAGCGAGCGAGTGTCCAATCCATCTCCACTTTCTCCTGCATATCTGTTGGGCGATCGGTTCTTGTTCTGTTTGTTGCCATAGTTTCTTGTTGGTGGTTCTTTCCGGCCCGGCCATCTGAGCCAGCGAAGACAGTTGTTGGTTGATAAAGGTCTGCAACAAGCTGTTGGAAATATTCTTTGTGACTCGCCTGCCAAGTTTCTGATCCGTACATAAATCGTAACAGCTAACTCAAGCAGTCCTCACAATGCCATCTTCTACTAAGCATACTGTAGCCGGAGTTGTGAAGGAATATTAGCCGCATACAGTAATAATAATAATAATACAGTAAGTACGGTCAGTTTGTGTGAACACATTGGGGATGATAGGCTAAAGTCCAACTAGAGAACCATGGAAAATAATTACTACATCACTATTCACATTCAATTCTGTTGAATTATTAGCCGAAATAATCATAATAATAATCAAGGGCTCTTTGAACGAATGCAATTTTATCTGTACCAATAGGATTATTCAATTGTTATAGGACACTGAGATAAAACATGACAGGCCTTGAAAATCCAACCTACTGGTGTACACTACGGACAAGTGGTGTGTCTTGAAGGCTGACTACTATGTGCAGGTTTTGAAAGTAAAATCATCACTGAATTCTGCATATGAAATGAACAGTTAAGACTATTAAATGCGAGACAAGGCAAAGTTGAGCAGTAGATTACAGATACACAATTGATGTGAGGTACAACGTTGTTATAGCACACACACACACATACTTCAGTTACCTCTTTTTAGCAATTTAATGGCAACACCATAAAATGTGTCATTTCAAATTTCAACTGCAAACTATTTCAGAGTCAAGTTATGGTGAACTTAAAGTATCCAGCTACAGCTTTCAGGTTACGATTTGCGGCCTAAACCAATGAATGTGTAGCTGAATAGAAATCGTTTCTCGTTGAAAAAACACAGCATTCAATGAGATTGTGGATAGAATTCCGGTTAGGCTGAATTTTATTTTCCAACTGATATGTATCCACATGTGTGTTTTGTTTTTGAGTCTATTATATTTTGCTATGTGTATATGGATTGATATTCCATTACAACTGACAATATGATTTTGCCTGTCCACTAACTAAATGAACAATGTATGACTTTGTTGTCACATGACATTAAAACCAATCATGTTAAGACTGTCTATTTATTGGTTTATGTGTATTAGCCATTTTCATAAATACTTTTGTATCAGACACTTGTACATTATTCTGGTTCACACACATTCCGTACGTTCGTATCATTCCACTCACACACTTGTGACATTTATTTTCTTTGTCTGTAAAATACAAGTATCATCGTAAACCTCGTGGTCTTCTGATTTCCCTCTTTCCGCGTCGGGACTATTAACTACTCGACGAGTACATAACACCAACATACTAAGGAATAGCATTCTGCGGATTTACGATACACTTCTCAATGGTGGATAGACAGTCTTCTCCGTGAAATGCTCTTACACAGTCACAAGTTTAAAGCCTCTTTTAGGTATGTTCTATCCAGTGATTTCATGCAGCAGATGTTCTTACAAAAATAATCCAGGAAATTAGAATGTCTGGAGTTCACCACAGCCAAGAGGGTTTATTTAGGTGTGATTCCAAAACTGTCTTCTTTCTCGCTCGCTAAAAGTAACAAATGTATGAACCCGATTTGGTGACTGGTACACATGGGGATACAGTGTCTGACGCTTGTTTCTTGCCTTCTGGATCATATCAAATCAAAGCCACTTAAGATAACCACCTGCTTCGGTTTGCACGTCCAAGTAGTATCGGCCCATATACAAAATGAAAATTACTGGCAAAAAATAACACTAACAGCAACTACTGCATACTTGTTACGATATTACTCGGAACTTGGATGTCCGCCTATAAGCTGCAAGTATTGTGTGACGGCTACTGACATTACCCAAATACCCAAACTGAGGTGATGCAGGATTCGAACCAGGGACGTAAGCTGAAGATCAAGGGTACAAGCCAACGGGCCACACCTCCACACTGTTGTATACTGCCACAACAGTGGTTGTGTAACAATTTCTACTTGTGTCTGACTTTACAATTATGTGAGTCGTAATAACGGTTGACTACAGAAAGCTGCGGTGTCGAGGTTTACACCCACTACCAATTAGTTAAACATCTGTAGTGCAACTTCCAGTGTTTTAAGTTTTTGTCTTAGTGTGTACACAAATGGACAGATAAAGTATAATTATATTTCAATAGTTTACACACAATGATAAGTTGTTGCTTTTTGGTAACATTTCGAGTAAAATTACTGCCCGTGATCACATCAACTGTTGCAGTGGTTTTGTTTTTAATTATTACCAAAAAACAAAAACTTATCAGTGTGTAGACTATTGAAATATAATTATACTTTATTTGATCTATTCCACAATAACCAAACTTTTTACTGACATTAACAAATGGGCAGGTTCGAAAGCCACTTTTTGCGCTATTCCATTGTGCTGTTAACAAATATCTTCAGGATTTGTATTCCAGCCATACTAGCTAGATAATTTCTCAATTGTTTCCCTGAATAATCTTTACCTTTTGAATTATTCAAACATACTGCTCATCACTTACTGAGTCGTTTTGATTTACGTTTTGTCGTCAGTAGTTACACGTATGTAGAGTACTGACTTACTGGGTGTTTATGCAAACTATGTGTAGTAACGGCTGGTATAGTGTAGCTAACCAATAGCACTAATAGTACCTTAAATATCCATTGTAGTTATAGATAATTATCAGAAAAGCTTGGTGGGTATTCCACTTGCTTAAACTAATTTAGACGTGATATTTAAGGCGGTTATATCAACTTTTATAATACCTTGTGGGTAAAATTTATTTTGATAAAGTCTCACAGTGTTATACAGTAATATTTACTGATGACGTTTCGAGCACAATTTATTGCTGCTCATAATCATAAAGTTATACTTAAATTATACTCTACCGCAGTGCAAAAGGTCTATTCTTATATCAACCTCTATATTAATCCATCCAGAGAGGATAGAAGGAATAAATGCAGATGTGAATATCTTGCATTAAATAACTTATGGGAAAAGAATCCTCAAACAAGAAACCCACCAATAACTTTAAATCACCAAAAAACGAGGCAGTGGAACTAGTCAAATAACACTATATTCATTTTTAAAATTGGTTTCGAAAGTTGTGTAAAAGTACTGAACAGGCTACTTGGTTAGTTTAAGGTTGAATAAGTTACCTGACTTCTCCCTCATATCACAATCGGCACTTGTATGTCCTTTAATTACACTTCTGTAAATAAATACAATGTTGTTTCCCGATACTAAACTCACAACTTAATTAGTATCAATCATATCATTGTCACAGATTCGTTATGAATTAAGAGCGAAGACCTATATGTCTATGCAGATGACCAAGTTAAACTTTAAGCGTCAGTTAGTACCAATTGAGTCCACAGCACCAGTAACAGGTTACTGAAAAACGACAAATAATTTTGTCATCACGTATAAAATATGCTTATTGAAATGCTTTGTCATTAAATGGGATATCCACTAAGTTTCAGGTCAGGTTTGGGAAAGATTAAGTTGAGGTTTAAGCTAACGAGAGGTTAAGGTTAGGTTAAAATAACAAGGGTGACAGTAGGGTTGGTTTGAGTTGGAATAGGGCTAGTCTAGGGATATTTTCACATTAGGGTTAGGTTAAGGAAAGATTAGGGGTATTGTTGAGATTAGGAGACCTGGATAATTACGTGCACAGAATGTGGTTAAATTACTGCCGGTAGTCAAATCCAAAACTAACTGGTATTTTTGTCACACGTCAGAGAAACGTACCATGAGTAACAGTTTCATACCTTTTAAGTCATTATTATCATAAACACATGTATTTTATGCGAGGAAATCGCCCGTTTCGTGGGGTCAATGCATTGAAGGTCATTTATCCGTGGGTACTTACTAATGCTTAAAGTTTAACTTTGCCATACTTCATATAAAGCAGAGTTTCTCACAACTTGACGTCAGCCTAAGTCGCTTGTGAGTTGCACTGTTGCTACTAATAAAAAGATTTTCACTAAGGTAATGCAAACGATAGGCAATATTAATAATGAATTCACATAAATTTGTGTTAATTCAGGTTAACCTACCTTCGACACAGGCTACTGTTGTGAAGATGTCGCTTTGATGTCAAGTGTGCATCAAAAGACTTGCTATTTGAGAAGCATTTTTTGCAGGCACTACAATAAGTTTCCTGTAAATCAAGTAAAGAAAGGAGGTACTACAAACCCTCTTAACTTCTGGTACTTCAGAATCGATCAGTTGTTTCTTATGCAAAAATATTTCTTGAGATATCGGTGGGAGACCAGATACTACGCGTTTTAGGTTATAGACATGCCAGTCACTCCTGACGTGGCTCACTTTCTCATCAACAGAAACATCCACCTTACATGTAGAGCAGACGAACGTCATGCTTTTAGTTCACGTTTGAGCAGTTCGCCAATGACCTTGTCGGTAGCAAACGAAAACAACTTCCAATATCCAATATCGTTTTTACGAGCTAGTATAAACCAATTTGATTTCTTTGTGCTCGCTTCTCGATTGTGAGTTAGAGGTTCCTGATCTCCCGTAAACTACTGTGTAGCTCGTCCTGCCACTCGACTGTCGTAGCTTTGGTTGACTACAAAAGGAGTAGTGCTGGGATTAATAATATGTGGTTTGTACTATGAGGTGCGTTAAGACTGTTACTACTGTGAATGGAGTTGATCCTTTCGCCAGTTAGTCCCCCGGTACTTGATATGCTCTGAATGGTTTCAAAGCCATAAAACATCATATACGCTGGGAGACGGTTCATTGAGTTAATTACACTGTGGAGAAATAGTACCTTACAGAGATATAGTTATTCCTTGGCTCTTTAACTCTACTGTTAAGTCGTCTGAGGTTTCTCACCCCGCAACAGGAAAGTCACATCCGTTCCACAATCATTTATTAATATTTTGAACATAACGACTAGGTCTCCTCCCTGCCTACAGTGTGACAGGGAGAGGAGGGGATTCTACAAAGGGCCCTACTTCGTACTTATAAATATTTAAGGCTGCTAGCTGTCAAGGTATGCCTTTGCAGTGTGCCTTATAGGGCTTTAGTTACTATGACATGTCTCTGCCTGGTTGAGGTGAAGAGGGTGTCATTCCCTCTATAGAGTATGCGGTGCCACTTGCGCGTCTGATGAGCATGGTTGAGCACTTCACTATGTTGAAGGACAGCACCCACTCTTTGGACCGATCTAAAAATTTTTGATCCGTTCTCAGTGTAAACACACTGTTTCCACCGTCCAGCTCCTTTCAGACTCTCAGATTATTTTCCTGAGGAACTGTAGGATATTTATTGGGCGCAAGTAATTGATAAATAAATGGGATGAATGAGAGAGCACCGACATATTAACTGTGGCACACCAATGCGTATCACTGTTCAGGAAAAGAGTTGACAGTTGGTTCCGACTCTGTGTCTCCTGCTTGTGATGAGTCTCTTGATCCCAAGCTTTGCAGTTTCATGAGCAGTAACGTGTGGAGCTCTTTGTTGAAGGCCTTGTGAAAATCTATGAGAACTAAGTCGATAGGTTCCCTGTTAACCCAGGAATAGGCTCATTGTACGTTTGCTCTGAGAAAGTAGATCACTCATGAAAGGTTTCCTTGAAACCCACGTTGTGCACCATGCAAGTTCATATTTCACATATTCCTGGAGTGCTTTTTTCACTATTCTCTTAATTACCAAGCTCAAGAAGCTGGTAGAACTAGTAGGCCTACAGCTAGAATCTCCTTCCTGAATGGAGTTAACATTGCACCCTTCTTGTTAGCCAACAGCAATGTATGGTGAGAACCTAGCAGCTGTGCGAGCTGCAAAGAATTTGGTCATCCTCAAATGAAGGTCATCACATCTCACTAGTTTCCCAGTATGACTCCTTGAGGATAGGCATACGGTCGATAGCAACACAATCTTTCCTGTTAACTGCCGGCAAGGCAGTAGACGATACACTGGTTGGTAGCGCCTCCTGTGTGAAGATTCCGTAGATAAATTTAACCATTGTCTTGGCTTTTCTTCCAGGCCTTGTCTGCCATGTAAGTGCGGGTAATCAGGTTATAATCCTGCTGGTGAATCCTTGCAGTAGCTTCGTTTATAACTCGTGTTAGGCTTCCTGGCGTCCAGAATCCATAGGACGATAGACACATCCCAGAACTTGTATCTTCATTCAAGCAGTCCACGATTATCTTGGTTTGTCCACTGAAAGGAGATAATATTTTCAGCCCTTAGGGACATTCCATAATTTGTGGGATTTGGTTACTAGAGCTCCATATTCTGAGATAATAATCCTACCCTTTGGAGAAGTGGCTGAAATAATGACAGTCATATCATCTTTCATCACGTCGACGAGTGTGATTGTGCTGTGGGTGTGCCTGTGGTGTGTTGGCTCTGCTGTTTGTTTCCCATTTCAGCTTTGTCCGTGTGACCCAGGTTCTCGCACCGGCATCCAAGTCAACGTGTATTGGTCGTGATGGAAAAAATGAATGGATCCATTTTTTGCCGGGGAGTATCAGTGTAGCTGAAGAATGAACGATCAATTCATGGTTGTTCGCTCAAACCCAACTCTATATTTTGGCGGGAGTCATCGATACTGCGGTCGTCGTTCTATCGTTCGCTGTTCGTTGGAAGACGGATAAAAACTATCAGAAGTATTATTGCGATTTATTGTTGTGACATTTACTCCTAGACTTTGTGTACAATAACCTTATGGTTGACTCTGTATTGGTGCAAGTATAAAGGGTTCTTGAGTCACCAATTTGTGTCCTGTTTTTTCGCGTTGGTTATTGCGCACAGTTCCTGACAGTCTTCTAAGGACAATGTGCAGTCCAGTGTAGTTAGACCTGGACATTGACAGTTTCTGGTAATTCTCCTCGAATTATTCGTCTTATTTGTTGTCAATTCGTCTTTCCTCGTGTCTGCAGGTCTTCTTTGGACAAGCGTTATAAGAACTTTTCTGGATTGTTTGGTCAAGTTCAATGATGCCTGGGTCAAAGAAGGGACAAAGCGTTTTGGAAGCAGACAAGAAAGTAAGTAATGATGTCTGTTAATTGTAGTGATATGCACGATGCTCAGCATGATAATAATAACAATGTATATTCTCATATAAACATATAAATTTACATGAAAATGCATGCCATTTTACAGGCACGATCAAGTATGATATAATATCAAATCGTAGATTGTCTACAAGTTAATAATGTTTCAACAGTTAAATATTTGATATATATATAAATACACATTGTCAGAACTAGGCTGTATAGTTATTGAATTGTACAATTGTCCTCCAGGTTGAGCGGGAAAATCGACTTCGTTTCGTTTTCATCCCGTGGTTGTAGGCATACGATAACCAACCAATATTGAGGTAAGTACAACGTTTACATGAGATCGAAAGCTGCTTTACGAAAGTTAAAGTGCTAAGGAGAATCATTAAAGTGTAGTGAAATAAGTAAGTGCAAAGTATCATTATTAAATGCATTTATAAAGGAAATAGAATGGGAAACCAATTAATCCCTAGGCTGACAACGTTCATTTGCAATGTGTAATGATACCCATATAGGTCTTACCATCATGATTTCCACTTTTGGCCTTAATAAAATTACTTTCAAGCCAGTTGTTTTTGTTTTATACGTTTTTGTCTATTTGGTGCACAACGGTACCCTACAGAGAATGGGAATAGAATGAGTCGAATCAAATTCATAAAGAGTTATAAAATGTTAGGTTTAATGGAATATGATGAGGACCAAGTAAAGACGTTATTGGAAAATGAATGAGATAAGACATTGTGAAGTGGTATTTAAAGATCAGACAATGGACAGCAAGTTAGTTTATAAGATGCCCCATAAATCTTCGCAGATCCCGCGTGGTCGCGTCTCAACAATAGGCTGAGTGAATGGTATATTTAAAGGTAGAAGCATGATCTGTCAAGGCGTTCATTATTATCTTTTTCAAGATAAAGATCTAAGCCCTCATAAAAATTAGAAATATCTCGATCCTTCAAATTGCATATTGTTGTTCCTGCAGAATGGGGCGATTCACCTTAGTGACCACCACCATATCTACTGATCAGCTAGCACCGCCCTCCCTCCTTTTATGATGTCAGACTCTGAGACTATGATTATTATGGCTACCGCAAATATATTGCTTGGTACCAGACATGTTCGTACTTCATATTCCATCTCCCTAGCTTTCTTAATGAGTGCTACCAATAGGTCTCCACGTACATCTTTATGAACATATTATATATGTGTGCATGCGTCCTAATGAACAGATCACTTTATAAGAAATTAAAAACTAAAAGAGCAAAAAGAATGGGTTTTGTGAATAGTGCAGCGAGATTCAGCAGAACACTATAGATAGGGTTCAATGTAAGTAGTATGAACTGAAGGTAAGGTAGGCTGGCAGGACTTAGTGTACTAAATTATCATGACATTGCAAAGTAACCCGTCTAAACATATGATAAAAAGATATTGACACTGAACCAACAAAATTTTGGCATATGGTTAACAATACTGCAGTGTGTGTCTACTGAAGAATGGTAGTTAGTCTACAGGGAGCCGTAAAGTAAATCGATCTGATGAGAGTATAATTAATATTATAATTCGCATTATCAAAGAATACATTAGGCTCAATAATTGAGTGTTATACAAGAAAAAGCATGGTAAAGCGAGAGAACATTTGCTGCATAAATATTTTACCCATTTTAAGTAATTTAATAACATTCTAATTTCAAGAATTGAACATGCATAACATATGTAAAGCATTAAAAGGTGCTGTCAGCCAAGTCTCATAAACCGTTAATGCCCAGCTCTCGCTACGCTCGGGCCCACGCTGTTCTTAGAAGATTTCTCAGAAACGCTTAGTTATAACGGACGCAAAAACCAAAACACCGATCTGCCGTTTGATATTTCTGTATTGTTACACCAACATATAAAAGGAATAAGCGAACTAAGCAAACTAAGGTCTGAAAACAAATATTACAATAATATTCTGACGATATTTTACTCTTCTTTCTGAACAGCGACCGATGAGACGATGACTGTCGTATTGATGCCTCCGCGAAAATCGAGGAAGTTGATTTTGAGCAAACAACCAAGAATTGATCGTTCAATCTTCAACTCCATTGACACTCCCCGGCAAAAAAGGGATCCAACCCTTTTTTCCTTCACGACCAATGCACGTTGACTTGGATGCCATTGCGAGAACCTGGGTCACACGGACAGAGCTGAAATGGAAAACAAACAGAAAAGCCAACACACCACAAGCATACCCACAGCACAATCTCACACATCGCTGACGACCTGCGCCTCCAGACAGAGACCTCCTCTTGACATCTTGCAACACAATCGCCACTTGCTAGAATGACTCTTGCAGAATGCAATGTGACCATAGCACCACCTCACGATACTCTACGCACATCCTCTTATCTACTCACTACCAATTACCACTGAAATCGCTTGT